AGTGGGGGAGTTTGTGTCATGAGGTACTTCTGTTGGTCTCCAGGAAGCTTGGTACTCATTCAAGCAGAAATATGCAGCAGTAATATATGCAGAATATAGATATGGAAGTATGTTACCTGTGAAAAAGGTAGCGAGAAGGACCAATTGTCTACTGACTGAGGTGAGAAGTTCAATACCTTAGTTAATATTCCGTGCATCATCAACGAACACGCTGATTGAAGAATCTTTCCACTGGCATTTGCATCTCAGTCTCCTGTTCAATTACCGAACACTTTGCTTCAGGAGGTGCATTTGAAATCAACTGAATTTGAGATAAAAAGCGAGCTCAAAAAAAATCCTCTCTAAAAATGTTTTTCTTAAGATGCCGTACCGATTTCGCGTCACTCCAGACGATTAAGGCTGAACGACGACAGATAGTAGAAACAAAGCGCAATGAACGGTCATTGCTCGAACACAACGATGCTTGAATATAGCTTCAGTTGCTTTTTAATGCAGGCCGCATGCATGCGGCTTGAATATAAATTGGCCGATTGGTAGCTCTGAAATCATTCCAATGTCCGTTCCGACCCAGCTCTTTTGTTTTCAACACGGTCTTTTGGGCATTTATTGTAGCGTTTAGTATTTTGCGGCAGTGTGTGTTTTTCATTTTCTAGCGCGAACGTATTCAGAAACTGGCCAATTTCCGACGGCAGCAGTCGGTTTGAATGGTAGCAGCTATGCCCAGTAGTGGGGTAAGGCGCACTTCGGCGAGAAGGGGTGGGGCATTTTGCCATTCGCTGCTCCGCTAGCTCCGGTCTACAAGTCTCACTCTGGTGGAACCTGTGAATTCTTGTGATGCGGGAGCAAGTTCGATGAGCTACCATGATAGAAACTGCAAACTCTTGTGAGCTCATGAAATAGCACTCAAGACTTCCCGACATGTCGAGCAAAAGTGCGAAATGCCCCCCTCCCGTTGCCGACCTGCGCCGTGAAATAGTGGCGAAATATATGCGTCTTGACCTCTGCAACGATAAATCCTGTGAGTGGGTGTGAATTGGAGCGCAGTGAAGGCAGCCTCCCCGCCAGTTGTTGCGGACTCAGGATGACGTCATTGAAAGGAAAAGCCGCTCTGGCTGCGCTCCAGTCCATGCCTGATCACACGCCCTATCGTTTGCAGGGATGGACTATACCTGTATGCAACACAGTAGTTGCACAATCTCACTTGTATTTCTTGAATGGAACGAGAAGTGTAGTAGTAGGATCAGTGTGCTTGATACTGACACCTTGGGAGGGGTGGCAGTCCTTCTGGGGAGCCTGTGCTTCTGACGCACACCCCTCTTGAAACCAATTTTGAAGTCTAATTTGCTTGGAATGGCTTCATACGTCGACTACTCGGCAGGTGGTTTCTGTGTTTGCCAGCGATTTCGAAACCATGATCATCAAAAATTTGTCGTGCCTGATGCATTTGAATGCTCGATTATGAGCCTTCTCTTTCTCTTCCTCCCCCTCAAGTTCATATTAGGTTGGAAAGAAAGTCCTGCGGCACTTTGACCACATTTTCGGACCTAAATTTTTCCTTCACTGAAAGACATTTCCAATCTACAAGGTAATCACCATTAATGGCTGGGACTCTGCCCACCTTTTGCACAGCTTCTCATTTCCAATCTCTAAAACTGGCTACAACGATAAAAAGAAGAGGGGGACCTCATTTTCGAATAGAAGTAGATTTTCGGAGTTTTTGCTTCCTAGAGAATGCTGTAGAGATCAAAGGCGGTGGTAATTGGAGGCTGCTAACTTCAGTGACCAAGCTGGGTATGGTCCCATTCCCTGATCGAGATCCAAAATCTTCTAGTAGTTTGATCCTCCCATGCGGTCTTCGCATTGCCGAGTAGTAGAGAAGAATTGAGTATTTCTGAATGAATTTAAGCGTGACGTCATCTTTCAAAGTTGACTGGAGTGGGCTGTGGCGGTACCCTGCGACATTACTTTGAAATTCCACCAATAACACAGTGAGATTTTATTGCATGTAAATCATCTTTTGGCAAAGCAATCTACTTTTTTCCTTGAGAGATCCTTCGAGGGATTTGTGCGCGACTTACGCAAGGATTCCTACTCTGCTACCAACCACGAAATCTCACAAGTTTTCCCAGTGCCTACGAGGAAAAGAAAACTCAGTCATTCGGTGCACCTTGTCAGTCTGGTCCAACTCATGGGGCATCCTTCACGTAACATTTTCCCTATAACCGAGACTTGGGGAGAAGCATGGCAGGTGTCAGTTAGGTGGAGCTTAGAGAGGTTGGCAACTAACTAGTGGTATGGTCAGCCTCGATCAGTGAATGGGACCATACGTTCGAACTGCGCCTCCAGAAACTTGAGTAAATGGCCGTCATTCTGTGCTGGTGGCCGACCTGCGAATTAAACAACTCCAGCTCTTAATCGCTGAGATAAACGGAGCACTGTGGCATGGCGAGCGACGTCCTCCCTGAGGACAGCGCATGTGCTAGCTCCTTCCACTACGCCGGGGTGGCCACAGGAACCATAATATGGTGATAGGTCGAAAATTACCCTGAACTTTAGAAGAATTTTAGGCCTTGAAAGCCTCCACAAAGTCATGATGTACGTCTGCAAAAACCTCAGAGAACCCTCACCACTAATCAGTGCTGCAACGTTCGCAGAATGGTCTTCAGTCACTTCTCTGAAGAAATGCTCATCAGCAGTGTCGCAGCGACTTCTTTCCCACCTGATATGAATGGTGCTGCAATTGCAGCAATGGACAAGCATGAATAGCCTAAGTAAGAAGACACGCATTCTTTGTTTCGTCTATTGGGGTCGGGGGCGATCAATCTTTATTGGCCCACGCTACGCTTCCAAGCAATGATAGCGCAACAATGGGGACGATCTTTCTTCAGTTCAACCCCTAGCGCCTTCCGCTCAGGAAGCACATGGCCTTTTTTGTCCTTATGATGAGCGTGAAAACGGAAAAAAATGGGCAGGAAACCGGGGTACCGATGTTGTGATTCAGAACATCAGAGACTAGCCACGCGATAGTCAGTCATTGGCAGCGGCGGAGCTCATTGGCAGAGAGGGAAATAATCAAAACAACCGCAAAGCGCTAAACTAAGGCCTTTTTTTATTGAGAGTCTTCAGAGCTCGATTTGATGACGAAAAACCGATACGGCGACTTGTGTAGCAACCGCCTTTCTTGCTAATTGCTCACCCCATTTTTCAGCAAGTGCACACACGTTGAAGGATGGAATAGTGTGTGAAGCAGCGCTCAATGACGCATGCTACGCCCCCTTGGTAATCAAACTTTCCGCAGTATGTGCCCATTCCGAAAAAGAACCTCCAAGGGACGCAGGAAGCCACATATTCCGCGTGGGAGGAGGAAGTGAAAGACGAGGTAAACCTCCAGGTTCATTACAGAATAGTTGGAACCTGTGCAATGTTACGGTCGTTGGGACTGATCGCGAAAGGTAAATCTTGTTTCACATCCGCAGGAGCGTGGTATAAGGCCGCGAAATGCTTTATAGTTAAGGCAGCGTTTAAAATTTCGACACAGCAGCCGCGTTCGCAGTAAGGTCGCGGCGTTTGCGTGGTCGATGAGCCGTCTTTCTAGTGGACATCGAAAGCGTCCATACGCGCGCGATCAAGGCCTGGCCATCGCAGGAAGTCTGAAGTGCATACAGTGGCTGCGGAAGGGGGGCTGAAGGCGAGATCCTGTTTCGAGAGCGGGCGCACTGACATCACGTTTTTCATCCATAGAATCATGTTAGCTGATGGATACAGCCCGCCTCTCCCCCCCCCTTCACGTAGTGCGTAGATGTGTGAGTGGGAGAGGTCACGTCGCAATTAGGGAGTTTCCAGAATGAGGTAGTATTTGGTCGCTGGGAGAAGGGATGTACTTAGCCTGGGATTTTTTTTATGGTTGAATTCTTCATCACGGGCGATATAAGGGGCCGTGTTCGCCCGTCGTTGGGAGAGGGAGGGGTCGTACTTGCCTTTCAGAGAAATTTGCGGCGTTGGGAAAAAGGTTTTCCCGATTGTATTGATTTATATTGTATTGATTGATTTCCGCAGTCGTGACGGTTTCGTGGCTCTCTATTCAGCCACCCCGCCTCCTCCTATTCCCCATTTCCCATCCCGCGCTCGACAACGAAATTTTGGGGAAACTAGAAAATTTCGGTAGATTGTGGGAAAACTAGTAGGAAGATGAGGAAAATCTAGAAAAGCGGTGGGGTGCGGGAAGGGAGGGGGGGAAGGATCGTACCAGAGGAGGGAAGTAGGATGTCGCATATCCCCTAAGTTCTCCAGCGACGGGGGGGGGGGGGCGCAGCGACAGGACGTGCCCTGGTGCGAAGAGCGCGCGTCACGGGATTCAGAGACGATTATCACGATCAAGTTTTACGGGTAGTGTGCTCAGTCATTAAGCACTAGCCCGTGAGTAAGTCCCCCGTAGTGGGAAGCGAAAAAAACATCGGAACACTCTGGGTAGAATTACCCCCACCCTTAATAGCTGCGAGTTGGTCGTCCGGCGTCGCATGCGATTGGGGCTAAGTGTCTTCTGACGTGCACCCAATTCCGGGCAGAGCAACGGGGAATCTTACGACGCTCCACGAACCGCTGCGTACATTACCAGTTCCCATGTAAAAGCCCTTGCCTTGGAAGTAGTCCTAGTTGCAATGGTTGCAATAGTCACTCGTCTCTAGCTTCTTTGTATAGTCGTTTCAAGTGACAGGCGTGGTATGTACTCTGCGAATGAGGACAACGATTATAAAAGTACACAATCATTTCGCGGATCACTTGACCGGGGAAACGTGTCTTTGCCTACGACTCCAATCAAATCTGCACATCCTATTTCCGCCGATCGTTTGTTTTGAACGTACCAAGTTGTTGGAGTACTGGATATTTATCGATGAGCATCTGACGAGCCTCCTGCGTCATTCCGTTGAAGTGATCGAGGATCCTCAAAAGCACTGGTCGACTGATGAACATTGGGGATAGTAAACACTGACAGGAAGTGCTTACGTCTTGGCCTCGGTCGGAGCGTCCATCACTTTACGTCGCACAAGTCGAGCCGTCTTATACAACTGAAAAAATCAATCAACTGAAGAAAAAGACGGTCACGCCCACTTCTCCTGCGACATGTGGAGCACACTTGCACAATAAAAGGGGCTAAAAGACAACTGGATCGCCCCTCTAGCCCAGGAGAACGCTTCGCGAGGGAAGTGACTTGGCGTTCCGGTATGGAGTTGCTGTGAGGGGCGTTCTCAAATGCCAAAGTGGATAGCTGCGCACCTTAAACCCCAGATCTAAACATGCTCCTACTTCGCATGCTTCGTTCCGAATAAACGGACCCTATGGCAAATCCGTTGAACCATCCTCTGTAGGATCCCAAACCCTCAGCGATATATTGACAGCCGCAGCAAGCCTGTGGAAAGAGAGTTTGTCTAAGCCAGCTTCGCTGTGTTCTGTCTTCAGCTAGCGGAGCGATGGTCTGCAGGGATCCACTTGCTTGATAATGGATCAGATGGGTGGAGAGGGGCGTGTTCTGAGTCATGGACAGATGATGATCGCTTCACCCATTCAGTCTGCTTCCTCTGACTTCAGTGGAAGGCATCAATGATATTCTGTGCAGCCTTTTGATCTGCGAATTATGTTCTCGTCATTCTGGCGCATGGTAGCGTCAGATTACTCAACACAACGGGCAAGCACTTACACATAACGGACGCTAATAGAAACTTCAGTGAAGGAAAAGCCCTAGCTAATCAGAATCGCCATAATCAGCATCAGCACTCTAGCTGGCCGCTCTGTCGAAATAGCAGACATGTTGAAAGAAAGGTGACGTCTAGGGCTACAGGAAACGTTACAGCAAACATTTATCGAAGAACGGTGTGGCCATAGCTTCGCCACAGAAGTGGCTCACATTGTCAAAGTCGCGTTGAGGATTTTCTTAACACATCGTGTTCAACACATCAGGGAAGCAACCTACATACAGTCGCGAAAAAAAAACTTGGAACATCCCCAAGTCGCCCTTTTTTTGACAGTTTCAAATATGAAGATTTTTAAATTGCACGTGCAATCTTTGTTTGTTCATGTCAAGTGCGCTTCTTTAAAATACTAGTCTAGGAAATAAAGTTGGTTGATTAAATACGTTAACTGGATAGAATTGCTTTGCGATGTCGAAAGAAAATCACACATGTTTGAGTGCTTGCTCACTTTTTCCATTTCTTTTTTTCTTACAACTCTCGAGAGACCAATGTTATTCCTAAAGCATTAGAAATTTCGAGAACCAGTCCAATATCAGAGTGACGGCATGAGAGTGACGATAATCTTCAACTTTCTGTCTCCGTAACCGCTTTACGAACAACTTATATTTTAGTCTTATCTTATTCTGTACCGGATGTGTTCCCGGCAATTCAATCAAGTAGAACACCGACGTTGACGGTTTTCGCGAGCATATCAGAGACAGTGTTCACGAAACAATTTATTAACCGAATACTTACAATAAAATAAATGAGGCAAAGCAAATGAACAAGTAGACAGCAAACAAGCGAATGGTGATGATTCTATGGTAGGATTCAAATGGGGGGGGAGCCGCAGCACCGCGATCTCGGCGGTCAATGCTGATTGAGGATGAGCCCTCTAATCCATGAACACAACTCTTATATACGTCCTAATTCACGCCAATATCACGGCGCTTCCTGTGGCCTCTCAATGACCTGCCCTCCACAATTCTTTATTTCTCAGAAAAGCATTTTAAAGCGCACTAGGTTTGAGCAAACATAGTTTTTATGCAATTCAAAAAAGTGTATGTAAAACTATTAAAGAGCGCGACTTGGGCTTGTTCCAAGTTTTTTTTTGTCCGCGGCTGTACATGCGAATATGCCCTGCAAAAAATGTGCCTGTCATCGTCAAGTACAAGTTCCGAGATGGTCTCGCTGACATGCCGTTTATGTGTACACAAGTTTGTTATCTCGTCAATTACCGTTATTCCGCTCGGTTTTAACCACCTTTCTGAGAAAGTTATGGCGATGTCTGCCAGTGGTGGCCTGTGCTGAGTGCCCAGTTCTTCTCCAGGCAATACCTTGTATTCCACAGAGTTTATGCACCCTTTTCTAGACCCCTTCCTGGGCTTTTGGCCAACGATGGCATTCAAGTCATCAGCTCTGACATAATCGCCTTCTAGAGTCGATCTTATGGTGCCGTCGAGCGGCACGTACAGCAAATTGACCCTATCTTCGTACCTACTAGCTCGGCTATGATTCGACCAGTGATCCTGCACACGGGAAGACGCCGTCCTCGAGAGTCTACGCTATGAAAACCTTTTCGTTGTATCTCCTCCAATTGGCCAAGTGATCCTTTTCCCGATTTGGGACCTAAGCTTTCCTTTGCAACACAAACCTTGTGAAGGCACCGACTTGTGACGTCATAAGCGTAAAAGACCGCCCGTCGCTCATTCGCTATTACATGCTCATTCTTCCTTGTGCAAGTGAGTACAGCCCTCACTGAAATTTCACTCTCTTGCCGCGACTCCACAACGAGCAAGCAGTCAGCTACAAAGTCCTACAAGCTCTAGTTCTAAAGCCGCGCCCAGTTGACGGCGTCTCATGCTAGAGTGCTTCTCCCACGGAGGGCGCTCAGTGTTCATTCGTTCGCCGAAGGCATCAAATCGCGTTGCGTGTCCTTTTCGCTGACAACGCTCCGTGCGGATGAGTAACATTGATTCGAAATTATTTCCATCGTTTTGTAGCTTTTCTGATATTAAACATCGATGTCCAAGAAGTGGTAATGATCTTACAAATATTGAAACTTTGGAAATTGCTTTTGTTTTTACTTTTTATTTTTATTTTATCGATTTCAAGGAATCCTTGAAATCAATAATAAAAATAAAGTAAAAAATAAATCTGCTTTCCTTCATCACATTTTATTCATTAGCAGCACGTACAGTCAACTTCATCCCATCTCGCAAGGTTAAACGCGTAACAATCACGAGCCAATTTTCGTGGTGCAAAAGGACGCACTAAACAAACTAAAATACGCACGCTGCCGTACCTTGAGTCGGAGCGAGTCTTCAAATGTTTTTTTCTTTTCAAAAGTTTTTCGTTCGTGTTTTTGTTGTTTCTCGTATTCTTTTCTTTGCATTTCATGATATCCATTGCTCTGAGATGAAGGGATTAGTGAGCCAGGGGTTGCACAATGACCGCAGGGCTGTGTGACTCACAGGGAGCGATCTCAGGGCACATCATTGGTTGGGGACAGAGCAGCCTCTGATGCCATATTCAAGTCACCTGACAGTATCATTTAGGTTGATGGAAGCTCAAGGGTTGGCTTGAAATGCGAATGAAATATAGCTTTGAAAGCAGGTGATTGCGGTGGCTCTGTTAGCAATTAGCGCTTGAGTCAGGTATCCTTCGGAAGCCTCGGTGAAAATGGTACCTTACGCGCACAAGAATGGTGGAGAGAAGAACAATTCTTCAACGTACCTTGTTGCTTCGCGAGTGCAAACGTTTGGTGACGTGCGCAGTGAGCTGAGAGCTTCCCCCCCCCCTTTCCCTTGCACTCGAGAATCGGTATTGCATTTACCTCTCCAATGAAGTTCGAAGCCTGACTATTTTTTGGTTCCATCTCAAGGTAATCTCTGCGCATCTTCACCAATTTAGCGTGTAGTGCAGGTTTGTTTTTCTTTATATGAGCATCGTACTCGTCCTAAAAACACGATTAATAGGCAAGAAACAAATTCATCGGAAAAGCGGTGTGTCGACGATAAACGGTGCTCCTACTCCGTCTACGACCCTGATATTTAACCCGTTCTGGACAGTGTGCACACGTGGTGTGTCATGATTTCGTCTCTGGGTGATGTTTCATCACAATTATTTGGCTTTTCTATCATATTCTGATGTCTTGGTGACAGAAGATGCTTGCCTTGGCAGGATTGAAAGAATGTCGAAAATTATTGATGAATTACTGATCAAATATCATAAAACCAGTCGGATCGCCCGGCTAACGCCGAGCTCTCCTCCTTCTTGGAAGCCCGGCTTCGCCGGGCTCATGCAACTGCTTTAGAGTCGTGACTAACCGCTGTCTTCTAATCAAATGAATGTAGAAACGCGCCATATGATCGCAGGGCACTTTCATAATGAAAAGTTCAAAATCTGGTCATGGATAATCGATTACTCTCCTCCCCATCTTATGACAGCCAAGGATGCTTCGGTCTCCGCAGTCGCTGCGTGCTCCTGTTCAGGCGAGCGTCGGTCGCGCCAATATGGTACCCCTCACCTCACCTCACCTCAGCTATTCCCCGCTCAGACACCTTTACAGGTCACGCTCAGCTGCTACGCGAATAGCCCGTGCAATGGTTCTGAGTGCACTAAGTGGTTGTGTTATGTTGTGGAGGCTGTTATGACTATCAAAACGCTACCACAATTTGATAATGCAACATTAATCGGTTCAGTTCCGATTGCGGTCGATCCATTTTCTTCTCATCTTATCGCAACCGTAGACGCCTTACCGCCGCAGGCGCTATGTGCTCCTATTCGCGAAATCGCCGTTCTCATCTGGTATCCCCCTCACCACATCATATCCCACTGACCCTATTTAACTGGCGCCCACTCCCGCACGTGGTATGCAGCCGCCACGTGAGCAGCTGGTGCAACATAGGGACACTACGCCGCCACTGTTCTTACCACCGCCTTGCTCGTGCTCACGTCCAGCTCCCAAGCGAGCAGCTCCTGCAATAGCACAGACTCTATCACAGTGGTTGGCTTAGATAGGGGAGCGATTCACAATTCAAACCGCTTCCTAGTTCGTTGCTGTAACATGGATTAGCTTGCAGTTTTGCTAGCGGTTCTTTCCTTCTATCTTGCCGCCTGCTCCTATCCAAGCGTACGCTACGCATCCCCTTACTGTACCCAGTTTGCCCGATCCAATCCCTCTGCCTCCCTCCCCTGTATGGGCTCAAATCCGACTGAGCACACGCAAGGGAGGAGAACAGGAGAAGAGGTCACTCGGTACCCACTCCCACCTTCCTCACCTCATCCCTTTCCATACTCGCCACTCCCCTCCCCATCTTGCCCTTGCGCGCGCTCACTACAACTACCACACGAGAAACCCGTGCAATGGCTCGGAGTGTGGTGGTCCTCTTATATAGTGGAAAGTGCTATTATGAGCTGCCACGCCAGCAGCTCGTGCAATGGCTCGGAGTGTACCGAATGGTTGTCTTATATAGCGGAGGCTGTTATCACAATCAAATCATTGGACTGCTACATCCTCCCAGTCGGTTACCGGTTTGCCTAGCGGTCGTTTTCGCCTCCAGCGAACTCGAACCCGTGAAGTATTTTGCGGACGGACAGACAAACATACATACATACAAATACATACATACAAACATACAAACCGACACACAAAGTTAGTGGTTTATAGAATGAAAGGATGATCCGGAGATGCGCGCAGTACGGCGGTCCGCAATGTGTTGATCCCAAATTAAGCATAAGTATAAGTTTATTACGTGTGCATAAGGCATACGTGAGAAAAAAAGATCGGAACACATTACGTATACAAGTTCCAATATCGAAATCAGTTGGAATTTTTCCAAAACAGTAATTACCCACCAAATCACCAACTTATCGACCAGTCTCAAGAGGGCTAGACCCACCATACCTCAATAACCTGTTGGAAATACGGTGTCTGAACTGTGCTAAAAATGTGGAAGGTATGGCTTTTGTTAACTTCAAATACGCGCTGCCCGCCCTGAAGGTGAAGCTCTTGGCACGTAAATTAGTCTTAGGTTTTGACAAATAGATCTTCATGGGACCACCTCTAATGTTCGAATGAACCATTCTGAAGACATCACTGGAACCGGACCCACGCGATCTTTTGATAAGCTTGGTTTATTGAGTCCTACCTAATAGGAACAAACGAAGAGGAAATGCATACCATGCAACTAATTAAGATAAGACAGAAAAATGGTTCGTTTCGCCTCTAAACATCATACGAACCAGTGTCTTTCGTCCTTCCCTGAGGCTCATCAGTGATGTAGGGAAGGACGAAAACAAACAGTGGGTAGAATAGTGGTGTAGTAAGAGAGTAGAACATCACTACGAGAAGTACAATGTTGTATATTCGAAAAGCATCGAAAAGTTGAATGACACAATTGTTCCGAGTAACTACATGAGACAGAATAGAGAGTGGCGCAGATACTGTGGGTGACTAATTGGGCCCACATAAACTTTTTCGTAATGAATGACGTGATACTCAGTTGCTATACTACGCAGCGAAATTATGAATGGGTCACATTTTTTAAAGCCATTCAGGCCTGTACATCTCCATATTTGCTGTCTGGCTTTTCGCGCCAGGACCTCCACCAAAAGTTGTGGTTGCCGCTTAAACCTTAACTATTAGTCCACATACAAAACATAAACGCGCTTTCCCTGGAATCACCAAGTGTAGAACAAAGCGGAAGACAAGGCATCCACAACACCAGTCGGAGGATGTAGGCAGATTCGTTACCAGCGTTAAAAAGTCAAGCGATGGACCACTTTTCTTCACAAGAGACATTTCGACATGGGATCGCTGGATATCAGTAGTATGAAGTGCTCAGAATGTGAAGTCCGATCCTCCACGTGGTGCCACAAGAAACTGCTCGCTGGTGCGAGCTACGCTGAACTTGGTGCGAGCTGTGCTGAACACGGACATCCGCACTTGGTGCGAGCTGTGCTGAACACGGACATCCAACACGGCCTTTCTGACGGGCCGGCCTAGGAAGCATTCTGTGTCACATCTTACATTAGCCATTTGCCAACACCCACGCCGATGTGGTTATCTATTTGGAGCTCAGCAGTTTCGCAACTCGATTGAGAGCGTTGTTCATTTTGACGACCGTTTAATGTAGATCGGTATCGATGTCGAGTAATGACTATACCACATCTTCTCTGCGGAGGACCCACGGATTGGATGCTTTTGGCAATAATAGGACGCGTTCTGGGCTCTGCTGGATGGGAAGACGGCCGAAGTACCCCGGAAGGACGGTATGTTTCGAATTGGCGACCTATGCTTGTCATGGTGGATTCGGTTATGAATCCCGGGGTGCCTGTGAGCGAATCTTCGAGTGTGCAAACAAGCGTAATCTGATCGTAATCTGATCATCCTGGCCGAAAAGTTTTGTAAAAGTGACCTCCATCTCATTGCCATTTACAGCGGGAGTAGCAGAACACAAATAGAGTCTGTTCTCATCGGACATAGCGACCAAGGACTCGCTACGGATGTAAAGATAAGAAGAAGTTAACATGCAGCAGCGCCGGCTGATTTGCAGCTTCCAGATTGAATCGACGGAGCGAAGACGTCAGAGCATTAAGTGGTGGGACCAAACGAGCGGGAAGCACCTGTAATTTTTTGCATTTGTTCACACGAGATCACAGTTGCCGACTGATACTGGAAAGAAGCCGTCAAATCGATTATCCGGGCCGTCCACTTCGAATTTGGCAAACGAAGCTCGGACGGCAGAGGATTGAAAACGACGCCTCGCTGCAGACGGACAGGGCCAAAAGGAAGATTTGCGAGAAGAAGAGTCTCTACCACGTGCTTTTGAAGCATAAGTCTACTGACGGCTGGCAAAAGTACCGGGAAGCGGATAGAGCGACGAGGAAGGCTGTGGCTGCTGCAAAAGCCGCTTATTTCGATGGTCTCACAAGAAACAGGAGACGAGCGTCGTGAGCGGTGCTTGTACGAGCTTGTCAGATATCGCCATCGTCAAACCGAAGATATAGGGAGGAGTGAAATCCACTATAGAGGTGCTCTCAAAGCACTCCCTCCATCACGCATCATTCTTCGGGAATGAATGTCAAAATGGCCATCTTCTGACTCGGACTGTTCAGAAGATGGCCATTTTGACATTCATTCCCGAAGAATGATGCGTGATGGAGGGAGTGCTTTGAGAGCACCTCTATAGTGGATTTCACTCCTCCGCTCCCGAATTTTCAATTGATGTTGAGTTGAAGGCACCTGTTGCACCTAGGGACTTGGGCATCTCGTATTCTAGATCGCGATCTTTCGATATTAATACTCTATATCAATATTACCACGGCAGCTTACATAGCTCACGCAAGGAGAATTAACCGTGCGGGCACTTTTGGCAAGAAGTAGGAAACCTCGCTTCAAGCTCTTCGCTATATATATGCGTCCTACTATTGAATAATAATGCATTTTATGGAGCCGCCTTCATACTCGTCATGTGGTAAAAAAATAGAGAGTTTTCAGTTTAACTTTAGTGAGCGAATTCCGCTCGTGGAGGCATCTTTCACATTTCTCATGAATCTGTATCGTTTCATGGTAGGCTGCAATACCTCAAGTTAGATTCTCTAGAAATGAGAAGGAAACTTTCTTTCGCCTACGAGCTCAGTGGTGGTCTCTAGTATTAGTCTCTGGAATGATCTACTGGCCCATGTTGTCAACTCTAGCTTGCTTAGGCCTTTTAAGAGCGATTTAGTTGCGTTTTCCTCCCACCCTGTCTGCGGCAACAGGAGTCCTCAGCGAAAACGGTGGACCTTTTAAGAGAGTATCCGTAGCTCCCTGCATGGAGATTCTAAGGGCTTACATTGTTGTCGCCCACTGCCCTTCTGTGCTCACCTGTCCTTTCCATTCATCGCCTCCCCAACATTAAACTCTTATCCTACCTTATGTATGCCTTTTCTCAACACATCAGATTTGAATTTGATACGCTGTGGTTTGTCTTGACTTGTGATCGAACTGCATAAAATCCTACTAAGATCCACATTTTCCTGCTCGGATCGCCCAGCTGTTTCAGAAGCTCACTCTGGCTTCGCTAGGAGTCTTACCTTACAATGGACAAAGTGTGCCAGGGCATTTTTTACGGAAAAAGTAGAAAAAATAATTTGCGAGTAGCCATCATTCAGCCGCTTTTCTTAGCTTCTGATCGAAAGAAAGCTAGTCAAATCAATTAACACGTTCGAGGCGGCGTGTACTCCCGGGAGTACACGCGCCTATTAGCTAGTTTTTGGTACTTTCTTTTCCTTTTCCACTGAGAAATGGATACAAGTAATCAAAGAAACGATGCAGAAATCATATTTACACATAAGAAGAGGCATGTCCTCCCAAAAAACACTCAAAAACTTTTTCTTCAGGCAAATCGTGTATTCCCGTCAGTACAGGCGCCTCTTCGTTGGTTTTTGCTATTTTTCTTTCTTTTTCACTAGCAGTTATATATATAATAAAACAAACGACAGGGAAATACGAGTAACACATCCAGAGGGGCTTGTACTGTAGGAAAAGCACATAAAAACTTTTCTTTCAAGCAAATCCTTACTCCCGGGAGTACACACTCCCCTCCACTTGTTTTTTATTTCATGATTTTTTCTTCTTCTCGCTGACTATTACATACAAATATAATGCAAGCAATATAGAAGTAATATTGAGGACACATCCTACGTTTTTTTTTGGAAGCAGTTGAGGCAGTAGTGGTTTTTATTTACAACAGTATTAGTTCGTTTTTACTCTGGGGTCATGGTTGCGAGCGTGAGTCAAGCTGTGAGTCTTTGTCAAAGATCTGTAACAACCGGCACATCGTCTGGACGGTCTTCTTCCTGTACCCTCGGGCTTGCACAGATAATGTTTTGGCGAAGTTGTATCCGCCCCGTGCGCGCTGAACCATAAACAGGACGATTGGCTGAGTGTCGCCCGCCGCGAACGCGCCAGTCGACAAACGGCAGTTTTTGGCGAAACGGCGCCGCCGCCAACGTGTTAATGGCTGCCGTAGTGATACGAGACCAAAAATGATGCCCCCCCCCTCCCCCCTCTACCTTCGACATCACTGCATGCATGTGATGCATGTACAGTAGCGCTTCAAAAGTACTCGGCTGTAAGCTTCTCGCCCATAACTTTTTTCTCAGACAACCAAGTCATTTCAAATTTTAGTACCTTACACCTACCATTATTGCCAATGAATCACAGTAGTTGCCTTCGGACATGAAACACGGAGTGCAACTCTATGCGTACCTACTACCTTCATTGTACACAAGGCCATCTTACTGTTCACATTTTTCGAGTTTTGTGGAGTTCCACGACAGTATTTTCAGATGCCAAAATGCCTTCTGCTCCTCGCAGTGTGACCTGGAAGAAGACGACTGGAACTTCCGACAACGAAAAAGTTCCCAGAAGACGAAAAACGCCGGAGATAAATGTGCCTCTCCCAAGTATTCTGAAAGTTTGTAGTCCCAACAGTGCCATCGTGTTCACAACGTTAAGAATGTAGTCAACGTTTGGGATACCGCCGGAGCGCATTCGACATCTATTCGCTATCGACTTTACAGCCAATTTCAACATATTTGTGAAACGAATATTAGTATGTGGATTGTCGGAAAACTCTGGAGTGTTAGGGTTAAACGGTAAATGCGCAACCGAGAACCCGCTGTTCAGCTCAGAGAATCAAAGGGTAAATGCAGATGTCGCTTTCGCCACCTTCAATGAACATCCAACTATCGAAGCAACGTTCTCTTCATCGACGCAGAGCGTTCAGGTCGCCGTGAGAAAGGCTAGCATATTTATTCGAGAACTACGTAGTGGATGCTTTTATCTTGAGGAATAGATGTCGAAAGCGCTCCGGCGGTCACTTCAGTCTTAACGTTGTGACCACGATGACATAGTGGGTCTAGAAACTTCCAAATACAAATATTTGGGAAAGACACATCTGCACGCCGACATTTTTCATCATCAATCTCGATGTCCCAAGCTCCTGTCTTTTTCCAAGTCACTGCAAAGAGCAAATTACAGTTCTGACACTGAAAATATTGTCGTGAAAATCCATAAAACAAAAAATATGAAATACAATAGAATACAACAGTATTGTGGGGCACTGAAATGAGTCGTTACGCAAAAAAAATTGCAGTCCATTGTAATAACACGCTGCATCACCTTCGAATGCGATTACTGCCATTCACTGTCAATAATCCTTTTATTCTGTGAACCACTAACTTTATGTGCCGATAGTATGTATGTATGTCTGTATGCATGTATGTGTATATGTATGTGTGTATGTATGTATGTATGTATCTGCGTCCGAAATTTATAGAAGCAATAGTAGGAAGCCACTTCCAACAGGTAGTGAAGGCAGTGGGACGGGAACACAACTGGTGGGTGACGGAATGTTATCACCTTTGGTAAGGTGCGATAAAAGGCTGTAGAAGAGGAAAGTCGCCAAATGCATAGCGTCGTGCATAGTGGGTCACAGCAACACTAGGATGCCTATTTCAACAGGTAATGTAGGCAGAGGAACGGGAACATAATTGGTGGGTGACGGAATGTTATTACCCTTCATGAGATCCGATAATAGGCTCAGTAAAACGAAAGTCGCTAAATGCATAGTGAAGGTCGCAGCAGCAGTAGGATACCAATTCCAACAGCTGGGGCACTTATGGGCGACAGAAAGGGATAAGAGCTGATAGAGACTGATAACGAGCATTGGGGTCATCATCCCCCTCTGGGGCGGTATTGGTTTCACACCGCCAAAAACGAAGGTTCTGGAGATGGGACCTGGATGACAGGTGACAACAATGGTATCACCTGATGATTACTGATAGAATGATGCCCTTACTGGTTTTCCTACGTCTTGCTGACCCCGTAGCTTAAAGACGATCGACCAACGTGAAGAAACCCTAAACTGAACAAGATCGTGGAGTCCGCATTCACAGTACTTCCTGGGGTTCGAAATCGATTGATAGACGGAGGCGGAGTCAACAATGATAATCTGATCCCGCCTGTGGTGTTAATCCCGCCTCGACAGGTCTTCCACTAATCCTCGCTGGCATTGATAATCGCTAAATTTCTAGCGTTCGTTTCGTACATGATAGAGAGATTAACTCATAGACAGATCGATTATCAATGCCAGCGTGGATTAATTAGATTAGATAAGATAACCTAGGTAGTGGCCTCATGAGAATTAGCCGCAACGAGGCGGCGACGTGTTTTGGAGAACTCACCCAAAATCTGCGAAACTCGTCCAGATGCGTCCGATCGAACAGGGTCTTATTCTATGTTCTTGCGGCGCTTTTTGTTTACTTTTTTGATTAATGCTTTAGTTTCCTTATGTTGTAACTTTACAACCGAAGTCGATCGCCGACACTGTCTTTAAGTATTGCAGGCAAGCAGCTCCGTGCTTAACGCCAGCTGATTCCCTTACGTCCTCATCCAAAGAGAAACAAGGAGTCGGCGTTATCATGGGTGATGTTACACGCCGAAAAGGGTGGGGGGGGGGCGTGAGGGCGCGTTTGAAACAGTGGATGATGAAGCTACTTGACGGTACCAACTTTTTTTATGGTCAGCCTTCTGATCATACTGATCGATCGATCGATGTTTATCGACAACACCAGTCGGTTGACTGGCTCACGCCGGCGCACATTTCTGGGTGTCTCGAATTCCGTTTTGGCGTAGCGGATGCAGCTTCTTCTTCTGAAAAACCGCGACGATGCCTCAACTGCAGTGTCACAGGGGGAAGAGAGGCGTCAGTCGGCGATCCTACTGGTGATATGTATGACATACTAAAACTTGTATGAGCGAGAAAAACGTTCGGCTCAAACCTTTGCGCGCTACTGCACATCGTCATCAGTGGTAAGAAGTGGTATGAATTGAAAGAAGATGGACACTCTTTTCAACTGATATGGAAAACGTACCTGTTATCCGTCAGCGATATCACCATCACTAATTTTCTATAATTTGATAGTGTATTGTATCCCACAGGTGAACGATGGCAACGCGTACCTCAGCCCCTATCAGCTGTTACTACTTTCTGTCGAACATCGTCACCCTCTACATCACCAGCTGAAACCACCGACTCTATGGTGCTGTGATCCGCGCTGTGAATACGGGTAACTTTCCCCCTCGAAACATAATCAAATCTACCAGCTGGTAACAGTTCATGTAACCTGGCAATAATGCGTTCTCCACCACTGTAGGGGTTTTTTTCTGGAATGCACTCCCGCATTCGGCAGTCTTGCGCTTCGAATGGTCCTCTCTCGGGTTGTTGATGGAAGATAATCATGGTCATAGTGATAAAGTTAGTTGCTGCAGTTCATGGCAACTGAGTAAACAACCGTCATGCATCTGAACTCCGGTTGCTTTAGCGGCCGTACATGATGTCGATAGCGGTAAGAGCATAGGAGTGAGTTGTGTACGAACTACTGAGAGCCTGATACCTGTCATATCAATCGCATTGTGGCAGTAAGCGGTGTTGCGGATTCCCGCATGATCATGCACGCACCTATACCACTTCTTTGAAACGAGGTCCGACAGACAATGCAACCCGCCCTACAAAGTTGGCGACCCTCCGCATCTAAGGCCCCTTATCGAATCTATCGACCGTTCATTCCCAACCTGTCTCTAAGCCTATTCTAGATTTCGCTAAAGGGGATTATGGATCCATATGCCGTCACCTTCTCGCTGTAGACTGGCAAAATATCTTTAACTCCATGGGATCTATCGACGAATGTTATTTATTCTTTACCAACTTTCTGCCACTCTCTTATATGCCAGTTCGTTCCGCGCGGTCGTAAAACTAAGGGAGACTTCCACGTGCCCCGCTATCTACAAAATATCAAATCTCGAGTTGAACGGTTATTCAAGAATGGTAATTATTTGCGCAATCCACAATACCTGTATTTGTCCCGCTTACTTAAAAAGAATTTAGCAAGGCTTAAACTCAAGCATGAGGAGCGCATAGCTTCCTCTAAGAACGCTAAGAGATTCTGGAGCTACTGTAATTCTAGATTAAAGGAGTCTTCATCAATCAGTGCTATCGTGTCGTCTACTGGTTCTGTGTGCACATCTGACTATGAGAAGGCTGACCTTTTCGCTACA